ACTTAGAAACCAAACAGTCTGTTCTGGCACTGCAAAACATTACTGGGACTGTGGGTGTTAACGATCTTATGGTGCTATTGAAAATGAGAATAGCACCTGAGGATGTCCTCACAGTGTGAAAGGTGCTATATAAATGTGAATTTGTATTCGAGAAGACTTTCTCTCAGTGTCCTGGCCAACAATCCTCCAAATAAAACAGGTCAATTGTTTCATGGCTGTTTGTGGAATATTGCTGTGCACAAATTGTCTGCCATATTCGCTCACAAAATATACATTTTACAGTATAACAACAACAACTTGCATTTATATAGCGCCCTCCACACCGGTCGGCATCCCTGAGTGCTTCACAACTGTGGAGCCCGATGCCGAGCCAGGGGGAGGGGGAAGGTGACTATAGCACGGTTGAAGAGGAAGGTCTTCAGGTACAACCTGAAAATGGGGAAAGAACAGGGAAGGCAAAGGGATTGAGTGAGGGAGTTCCATAGATTCAGGGCGTAGTGGCTGCAAGCAAGTGGAGGATTTGAGAGAAATCTTGTGAAGGACTTTGAGATGCCCTCTTGAATTGAAAGGGACTATATCAGATGTTAGGATTATTATTATTAACAACCAGAACTATATGCTGTAATCCATGCTGGGGCAAACCAACAGTTTAGATAAGTATGATTTTCTGTAATAATAGAATAGGGGTTTTAGGCCATTCTGGCAACCCAGTAAATAAAGCACACCATGATACTAATGCACACAATATAAACCATGGATACGTGGGTGGGAAAGGGCAGGATGAGGTACAAGTGTAACACTGCTAATGGTTGAACAGCCTGCCAACATTCACTGCTAAAATATTAAGCAGACAATTGGGTAAGTAACCAACAGCACCATGGAGCTGAGCTGGCCCTCCATATGAATCAACAACTTCCTGAGAGGAGAGGAAAGGGAGAAAGAAAGCAGGCAGATGACCGACTCTTGTGATACATTTCATCCATATCTTATTCTAATTATTTTTGTGAGTCAGCCAAGTGTTTTGACACACATCGCCAGCCTTAAGATTATCGAAACCAAACTACTGACAATTCTACACGGGTATTTTGACTTTGTCGGGAATTTAATGCACATTCTCTCCCTCGAGGGGCACATCTTGATCATCTAATCCAGGTTGTCTGGTTATTTTGATATTCTTCAAACAGGTTTACACACATGTGCAGCATATAAAAAAAAATCCAGAATACAATGTTCCTTTCTTCAGTTTTCCACTGCAAACACTAACGACAAAATAGAATTCTGAGAGGGTGGTAACCAGTTATTAACCCCCTCTCCTCCCCCTCACCCCCATCCATCAATGTATTCATTGATGGTTACATGGTTATTGCTTCACTCAAGTCCAGACGAACCTATTTGGGACTTTTTTGGTGAACGGCAGATTAAATTCCACGTGTTTTTAATACTATTCAATGGAAAACAGGCCCTCAGAAAATAACACATACAACACAACACTGGAAGGAAGATTAACTTAGCTGTCAACTCAAGACAGCAAACACTGGTAGCATGATTGATGCTGCTTTTAAAAATGATTGTAGCTGATCGATGACTTATCGTCATAGCCTGGATTGCCTGCCAATCTCTACATTCTACATGACTTTGTACACATTCTCAGATACAACTCTTGTTACCTTTTTATACTAGCTCAATTGCGATATACAACTAGGTCAAAAACAGAAGTTGCTGGGGACAGTCAGCAGGTTGGGCAGCAGCTATAGAGAAAGAGTCAATGTTTTGGGTCCACAACCCTTCGTCAGAGGTTAGGATTATTCTCATTGGAGCAGAGAAGGTTATGAGGAGTCCTAATAGAGGTTTTCTAAATCATGAGGGGATTTGATAGGTTACAAAGGGAAAAACTGTTTCCACTGGTGGGTGTGTAGGTGACTTGAGGTCACAGATTTAAAAGTCTCCAAAAGAACCAGAGGGGAGGTGAGAAGAAATTTTTTCACGCAGTGAGTTGTTCAAATCTGGAACGCATTGCCTGAAAGGGTGGTGGGGGCCGATTCGATAACTACTTTTAAAAACGGGGTGGATGGGTATTTGAGGAGGACGGGTTTGCAGGGTTATGGGGAAAGGGCTGGGGAGTGGGACTGACATTAATTGCTCTTTTCAAAGAGCCGGCACAGACTCGATGAGCCGAATGGCTTCATTTTGTGCTGTACAATTCTATGAACTCAATTGAGTGTTTGCGTGTTTCCTTTTTTTGAGACATCGAGAAGCACTATATCAAAGACAAGGATTATTATTATTATAATATCAAAAAGCCAATATTAACAAATCACAGGTACACAATAGGTACATGGAACACATTTTGCAACTGTTTTGGAGATGTTATGGCTCTTCAATGGGAAACGAGCAGAGTGGATACTTTCCACGTTAGGTTCAATGTACTGATCTGATCAGCCCAAGTGACAATGTGGTTTGGTTAATCACCCAAACACACTGTCGTCTCTTAAAGATAACTCCAACCAGGAGCCAACTGGGGACCCCCCAACCAAACCCCCCCACCCTTTCCTACCCATCACCCCCAACCAAAGGCCTCCTCCCCGTCACCCCCAACCAAAGACACCCCCCCCTCTCCTCCCTGTCACCCCCCCCAACCAAAGACCACCCTACTCCTCCCCAACTAAAGATCCTCCTCTCCCCCAAAACCAGAGACACCCCTCTTCTCCCCCCAAAACCAAAGACCCTCCCTCTCACCCCCCAACTAAAGAACCCGCTTTCCTCCCCCAATCAAAGACCCCCCTCTCCTCCCCCTCACCTCCCAACCAAAGACCCCCCTCTCCTCCCACTCATCCCACAACCAAAGACTCTCCTCCACCTCACCCCACAACCAAAGACCCCCACTCCTCCCTCTCACCCCCCAACCAAAGATCCCTCTCTCCTCCCCCTCTCTCCTCCCCCCAACCCCAACCAAAGACGCCCCCTCCCTCCCCAACAAAAGACCCCCCCCCAACAAAAGACCCCCCCTCCCTCCACACCTCCCAACTAAATACCCCCCTCTCCTCCCCCCCCCCCCCCCCCCAGCCAGAGACACAACTCCAGTCATCGTGTTTCCCAAATCAGAGTTAAAATGGGTGAGGGTGTTTCCTCTCTGTAGCAGCCTGTCTGTCTGACTGACTGTCTGACTGTCTGACTGACTGACTGTCTGACTGTCTGTGCACCTTCCAGGAAAACATCCACAGCGTTAAGATTAAGGACAAAACACAAACCAAACCATAGGGGCATTTTATTATAAAACAAAAAGCAAAGTCAGGGTGAGAGCCCTCAGACTGGGGTCCCACCCACACACACACCACAGCCACACACACACACACACACACAGCCACACACACACACACACAGTCACACACACACACAGTCACACAGCCACACACACACACAGCCACACACACACACAGCCACACAGCCACACACACACACACACAGCCACACACACACAGCCACACACACACACACCCACACACACACACACACAGCCACACACACACACAGCCACACACACAGCCACACACACACACACACACACACACACACACACACACACACAGCCACACACACACACCACACACACACACACACACACCCACACACACACACCACACACACACACACACAGTCACACCACACACACACACACACAGTCACACACACACACACACACACACAGCCACACACACACACACAGCCACACACACACACACACCACACACACACACAGACACCACACACCACACACACACAGACACACACACACACACCCACACCACACACACACACAGCCACACACACACAGCCACACACACACACAGCCACACACACACACACAGCCACACACCACCAACACACACACAGCCACACACACACACACACAGCCACACACACACACACACACAGCCACACACACACACCACACACACACCACACACACACACACACACAGCACACACACACACACACAGCCATCACACACACACCCACCACACACACACACAGCCACACACACACACACACACACACACACACACACACAGCCACACACACACACACAGCCACACACACACACACACACACAGCCACACACACACACCACACAGCCATCACACACACACCACACACACACACACACAGCCACACCACCACACACAGCCACACACACACACAGCCACACTACACACACACACACCACACCACACACACACAGCCACACACACACCACACACAGCCACACACACACACACACAGCCACACACACACACACACCACACACACACACAGCCACACACACACACACCACACACACACACACACAGCCACACACACACACACACACCACACCACCACACACACACCGCCACACACACACAGACACACACACACACACACAGCCACACACCCACACACACACACAGCCACACACACCACACACACACCACACCACACACACACACAGCCACACACACACACACACACCACACACCACACACACACACACACACAGCCACACACACACACAGCCACACAGTCACACACACACACACAGCCACACAGCCACACACACACACAGCCACACACACACACACCATCACACACACACAGCACACACCACACACCACACACACAGCCACTACACACCACACAGCCATCACCACACACACAGCCTCCACCACACACACAGCCACACACACACACACAGCCACACACACACACACAGCCACACACCCACACACAGCCACACACACACACAGCCACACACACACACACACACACACACACACACAGCCACACACACACACAGCCACACACAGCCACACACAGCCACACACACACACACACAGCCACACACACACACACACACACACAGCCACACACACACAGCCACACACACCCCCCGGAGGGGTCACGGTACGTTGCTGACAGAGAGTCGGTCGGCAGTGCAGTGCAGTGAGAGCCGCTTCTCTTACCTGTGCCACACAGCAGGAAATGGACATGTTTGCGGAGACCGCGATCACAGCGACACTGGGACTGACTGACTGACTGGGCAGCGCTCAGCGGGTCACAGGGTGGGGAGAGGGAGAGAGAGAGAGAGGAGGGGAGAGGAGGAGAGAGAGGAGGAGAGAGGAGGGGAGGAGAGAGAGGAGAGAGAGAGGAGGGGAGGTGAGAGAGGAGGAGAGGGGGAGAGGAGGGGAGGGGAGAGAGGAGGAGAGGGGGAGGGGGAGAGAGGAGGAGAGGGGAAGAGGGGAGGAGAGAGGAGGGAGGAGAGGGGAGGGGAAGAGGGGAGAGGGAGAGGAGGAGAGGGGGGAGAGGAGGGAGGGGAGGAGAGGGGGGAGAGGGGGAGAGGGGAGGGGAGAGAGGGGGAGAGGGGAGGGGAGGGGAGGAGAGGGGGAGAGGAGGGGAAGATCAGCAACAACAACAATAAAAGACAAAGAGAAACAAAGCGACAGATCGGCAGCTCCTCCAGAGCATTAAACACCAGCACCAGCCTCGCCCACAGCCTGTGTGTGTGTGTCTCTCTCTCTGTCACTCTGTGTGTGTGTCTCTCTCTGTCACTGTGTGTGTTGTGTCTCTCTCTCACTGTGTGTGTGTATCTCTCTCTGTGTCACTGTGTGTGTGTCTCTCTGTGTCACTCTGTGTGTGTGTGTCTGTGTGTCTCGCTCTGTCACTCTGTATGTGTGTGTGTCTGTGTCACTCTGTGTGTGTGTGTCTGTGTGTCTCGCTCTGTCACTCTGTGTGTGTGTGTGTGTGTGTGTGTGTCTCTCTGTGTCACTCTGTGTGTGTGTGCGTCTCTCTCTCTGTCACTCTGTGTGTGTGTGTCTCTCTGTGTCACTCTGTGTGTGTCTCTCTCTCTGTGTCACTCTGTGTGTGTGTGCGTCTCTCTGTGTCTCTCTCTGTGTCACTCTGTGTGTGTGTGCGTCTCTCTGTGTCTCTCTCTGTGTCACTCTGTGTGTGTGTGCGTCTCTGTGTGTCTCTCTCTGTGTCACTCTGTGTGTGTGTGTGCGTCTCTGTGTGTCTCTCTCTGTGTCACTCTGTGTGTGTGTGTGTGCGTCTCTGTGTGTCTCTCTGTGTCACTCTGTGTGTGTGTGTGTGTGTGTGCGTCTCTGTGTGTCTCTCTCTGTGTCACTCTGTGTGTGTGTGTGTGTGTCTCTCTCTCTCTCAATGGCTGATTCCCCCACTGTGAACTGATGATTATTTCACTTCCGGAAACGACTCTTGTTCAGAGAAGAGGGAGGAGAAATATATATAAAAAAAGGGAGAATCCCAGAGCGGTGGAGCTAATCTCCAACACAACATCCTCTTGTATCTCCAAATCTCCAGTTCTGTTTTTAAAGGCGAAGGCTGGATTTGTCAGTCATGCTTTCAAATCTTTTGCGCAGCTTCATTTTTGTACTCCACTTGCACATTGAGGGGGGAGGGGGTGGAATAGTTAACATATTTTTCATATCTGCTGCACAGCAATCTATTGATTCTGCTTTTATTTATTTATGATATCCACATTTATTTCCCAGTGAAAAATCTGAGCAGGTGCGCTGTTCCACTTGTCTTCTCTGGGAGAACACAGGTGCACTGAAGGCATTCAACGTTTAACCGCTCCGAGATACTACCTCGCATGAAGGACGCTATAGAAATGCAAGCACGAATGCGCATAAATGCAAGGCAACAATTACAACAACTAGTTGCATTTGTTTCGCGCCTTTCGGGGTCGGGAGGACGTCCTAAGACTCCGGACAGTCAAGGGTTTGCAACCGAGCTGAGGGTTCCAGAGAGTGGGGGCAGAAAGGCTGAAGGCCCGACTGCCAATGATGGAGGAGGCAGGGCAGAGGACGGCAGGCAAGTGCCTGACTAGTGGAGAGAGCGGACTGGTTGGGAGTGTTTTAGATGTGGGAAGGCGCAAGACCGTGAATAGACTGAAAAGTGAGGATGGAGATTTTGAACTCAATCCTCTGGAGGATAGGCTGCCAGTGGAGCTCGTTGATGATGGGGATAAGAGGCTTGCGGAGCCTGGTGTGGAAGAGGACATGACCATCAGAGTTCTGGATGGTCTGGAGCTTGTGGAGGGAAGAGTTGAAAAGTCCAGTGAGCAGCAAGTTGGCGTTGTCTGGTCTAGATATAATATGATATGACTGCAACACCTCTCATTGATATGTCAAATGGTCAATCGTCAACAGTTCCCTTCCCGTACCTCAGGTATTGGACTATCAAGGCCACTACAGACATCAAAGGGCGTCTTCACCAATTAGAGAAGCTTCCGCACTAGTTCTTTTAACACTCTGTTTACCACACCATGGCTGATTGTGGGACATTGCTGTGTGCAAATTGGCAATTGCATACCCACAAACTACATGCAGTCACACCACTTTATGGTATGTTGAGACATCTTGACACAGTGATAAATCACTATACCAAATGCAAGGATTATTATTATTACCAATCGGCTTAATCAAATAAATAAATAAATTGGTCACTTCAATCCACAACTGTTTGTGGGACACTGCTGTGCACAATTGGCTGCTGCGTTTCGCCCACAAATATACATCAATTCACATTACAATATATTCTGTGAAGCGCTTTGAGACGTCTAGATGACGTGAAAAGCGCTATATCAATAATAATAAAAATAATAATAATAATCCTTGCATTTGATATAGCGCTTTACACGTCGGGAGGACGTCCCAAAGCGCTTCACAGAACACACTGTAAAGTGAATTGACTGTATATTTGTGGGCGAACGCGGCAGCCAATTGCGCACAGCAATGTCCCACAAACAGTAGATTGAAAATGACCAATTTATTATTGTTTTTGGTTTTTTGGAGGGATTATTATTAGGGGTGTGGAGTAAGGAAACTTGCCCAAGGTTTCGCCCTGACCTGCCTGGAATTGAACTCAGGTCTCTCGCTTGCAAAGCGAGTGCTCTAACCACTGAGCTACAGGACTCCACTGCAAAGATTATTATTTATTTATTAACCACAAATAGAGGATATAAGAACATGTCCTTGCAAACTCACACTCCAGGTAACACTTTCCAGCGACCATCATCCTCAAAGTTTCATCATCAGTCTCTTGACAAACCTTAAGCATGGTGGAGAGACATTTTCTGGGCAGCTCATGACATACTACCAATTGTGAGGTTTCAGAGGTCTTGTCTAATGTTATTTTTACCAGAGCTGCTGGACTTCATCTCAGTTCCAGTTCCTCAAATAAAGTTGACTTGACTTTGGCTAAAAGACAAGCCCACATGAAGGCTAATTCTCCATCCAAATACAAAATAACAGTTCAATTTTATAATGATAATCCTTGCATTTGATATCGTGACTTATCAAGGCTTTGAGACATCTCAAAGCGCTTTACAGAATTTATTGTAAAATGAATTAACTGTATACTTTGTTGGCGAAACCAAAATATAACCACAATATAAACCACAGCCCACCCTCCCTGCAATCATTTTCCTTTTTACCACAAAATCAACCTCACAATTCAGTCCTCGATCTCACCCCTGTCTGTTGCATGTGTAGCGTTCCAATAAACATTTATAAATTAATGTGTGGAGAAAAGAGGAGAAAGAAAATGTTAGTGTTTCAAAATCATGATTGTCACTCTCGACCAATAAGATCTTCTAGACATGTAAGACCCATGGAATTTGTGAAAGAATTGTACAGAGTAAATCTGGCTGTGGTCATGTTTTTTCAGCTGTAATCTGGGGCATTGCACAAAGTACTGAACAAAAGTAAAGCCTTCCACCTGAGCAAGGACTGGCATCGTCTGGGTGCAAATTATTAAAATCATGGAAATCATGAAGTAATAGATTTCCAAACTCTGAGGTTAAATCTGTTTACCTTTCAAGTGGGTGTTAAATATCCATGACGCTGTTCAAACAGAAGGGAGTTTCCCTTGGTGTCCTCTGGATAAAATCGGTCATTCACCTCAGAGCTATTTCTGGGAATTTGCTGCCATAAAAGGCTGTCCTGTGTGCCTGCAAATACAGTCACTGCACATGACAGTAATTACCTGACAAGCGTTCTGAGACATTTTGATGTGATAAAGCACTATATCAAAAGGTATCTCTTTGATTGTGCTTTCGGGCATCTTTCCCTTCTCCAATCCCCCCAATCCCCCTGGCTCCCACTCCCAGCTCAGGTGCCCAGCCAGGAAGGTAAGTGCTTTGAGATGTCCTCACAACATAAAAGGCCTTATATAAATATCAATTATATTATGTATCAAATGTAACAAAAAATTACAACAGAAATTCAGATGTACAGACAATAAAGTGTTACACCAACACAAATTTGTTAATATGCAGACCAACGGCACAATTACAGAACTGGATCAAGGAAGAGTATCAAGTAATCACTTTAATCAATCTAATGCAGTGCAAGAGTATTGCCATTGACAGACATGCACTTGGAATGAAATTACTGGTGTAATAAATGCACATTAGATGCTAGAATAAAATGGTACATTTTTTAAAGCTTTGCTTATGTTGCTAGAGTATTTTACATATATGCCGAAGGCAGAATAATTAACTTAATGTTTTGCTGAATTTATATTTTTTGTGGGGTTAGATGCGCAATTTGTTGAGACGATTTTGTGAATGGCTGCATTTTGGATTTTGTAGGATATGTTACTGATAAATTGTGGCTAGCATTGATATAAAGAAAATGGGTTAGCACTTCAATATATTGATAGTGATACTGTGGACTTGAGATCTGCTTAACAATAAAACCGTATAGCTTTGCATTTCTGTTAGTGTACATCACATGTGGAAAGGTTATATTTTACTGAACTGAATGGGGCATGCAATTAGCAGGTGGACATTCAAATAAATTCCACATTTTCCATTGTGCAGCTACAACTGTGCTACTCTTCCTTAAAAAAGCATTCCAATAAAATTGCCTAAAGAAAACCCAGCACTAGATGCTGAGAAACGAAATGCCATATGTCAGATTTCCCCACAGCTCATATTCCCTTTCTGAGTAAACTGGAAACACACAGCTTGTAAAATAAGGCAGTGTTTCCCCTTTAACAAAATATTATGATGACTGTAAATTTTGACATGATACTGGAGCTA